CGGCTGTGCTTCGTCATGTGCCCCACCCCCGTTCCTCACCCGGGGGAACTGCGGCCCCCCGCGTCCCCCCCCCAAATGACCTCTGAACGTATGTTTGCAAGAGGGATCTTTTGAATCTTACTCTGGGAATGACACTTCCAGGAAAAGAAAAAACATGGACTCCGGGCTCATAAATTTTATGGGATTTTATTACTACATAGGCTGTAATATGTGAGAGCCAGTTTGTGAGAGCCAGTTTGGTGTAGTGGTTAAGTGCATGGACTCTAATCTGGGAGAACTGGGTTTGATTCCCCACTTCTCCACTTGCACCTGGTTGGATGACCTTGGGCAAGCCATAGTTCTGTCAGAGCTGTCCTTGAAAAAGAGCAGTTTCTGTCAGAGCTCTCTCAGCCCCACCTACCTCACAGGGTGTCTGTTGTGGGGAGGGAAAGGAGTTTGTAAGCCGCTCTGAGACACCTTTGGGTAGTGAAGGGCGGGGTATAAATCCAATCTCATCTTCTTCTTCTTCTAATAGGGATTTCCTCCTTTAATAACATTCAGAATTTCCAGTCCATGGCCAACACAGAAAAATACATTGAGAGCATGTTGCTTAGCTTAACCTAAAGTATCTTTGCCTATAGTGAAGCATTATTTTTACTTGAAGCAGCATGAAGCAGAAGCAGCATGGAGCATGAAAAGCAACATAAGAACATAGCAAGTAGCATATGAATGTCACCAGTCCTCCAAGGAAAGCGTAGTAAAGTGCATTCAAAACTGGCCCAAAGGTGGCTCAGTAGGAAAAGGCCTTACCTCCACGAGGCTCTCCTGAAAGACAGGAAGTAAGGGAGAGAGGCTTTGGATTCTCTCTGCCTGATTTCCATTGTTTCAAGACCCAAACCTGGGATCCCCCGAGCCACTGCTGCTCTGCTAGGTCAGCAGTGCCCAGACCAATGGGTCGTGTACACAAGAAACCAGACTTTTTCTTAAAAGATTGGGAAAAGGTTTATTAAATAATGAACAAGACACAAAAAGAAACACTGTTAGGCTACACAGTCTTCTTGACTAAACTGCATAAAAACATTAAAAGCTGACTTCCTCTGTCTAACACATTGATGCCTGATAGTGGATTGTAAAATCAGAAAGTTTAAAGTTGTCCTGTACTGTATTATATTGTGTCAAGTGGCAGACCTACATTTTTGGGAGCCCAAACCTTGAACTGTTACGGGAGCCCTTTCTCAACCAGCAACAATAGGGCAACATCCAACAACTTCCAAAGGGCCTGAATTGAGATTTCAGATGTCTTTTAATGGTTCTGATTGGCTAAGGGCTGAACTGTAGAATTATTAAGCTATACACCAATGAAGGATTCGAGGTTCCAGCTGCCAAAATGTAGGCTAGGAGTAGATTCTGGTGAGCTCAGTGAACCCATACAATTGGGGGTTCAGGTGCTGCAAGCCGCCAAGAAATTGTTGAAATTTGACCAATTACAGGGACATTTTGAGACCATATGAAACGGGTATTAGAGCATATGTCAATGGTGATACTTAGCAGATGTTAAAAGTTTTCCTTTTTTTCCCCCCTCCACATTATAACAGGTTTTTTTCTAAGTGATTTTTTTTCTGGTGGGTAGCTGTGTTGGTCTGAAGCAACAGAACAAAGTTGAGTCCAGTGGCACCTTTAAGACCAACAAAGTTTTATTCAAAGTGTAAGCTTTCAGTGCTTTGTACACGGAAGCTTACACTTTGAATAAAACTTTGTTGGCTTTAAAGATGCCACTGGACTCAAACTTTGGGGTTTTTTTCTGTTACTGTTGTCATACTATGCCTGGTAACTGGGAGGTACCAACTTGCAGTGGCAGGCATAAAGGCTCAACTCATTTGTATGGTCTGTGGAGCAACTGGGGAGGAGTAACATGGCTTGGATTCTCTCAATCCACTGAGGAGAAATGTTCAGGATAAGTACTAATGTTCTGTCCTGCTATTGGGCTTCTAGGCTGATGGTCATGTTTATCCAGTCCTGTCACCTTCATGATATCTGTCTAGTTAAACCAGGGGTCCTCAAACTTTTTAAACAGGGGCCAGTTCATTGTCCCTCAGACCGTTGGAGGGCCGGACTATAGTTTTTAAAAAAACTATGAACAAATTCCTATGCACACGGCACATATCTTATTTTGAAGCAAAAAAACAAAATGAAGAACAAGTAAAGTTAAATCAACAAGTTTACCAGTATTTCAATGGGAACTATGGGCCTGCTTTTGGCTAATGAGATGGTCAATGTCCGGTTCCATATTTGTCACTGCTAGTCGTAACAAGTGATGCAAGTGTGCATCAGTTAGTCTAGATCTGGTTGGAGATTTCAGATGTTTCATTCTGGAAAAAGTCTGTTCACAGACATAAGTGCTTCCAAAGATGGTTGCCATTTTGAGTGCATGTTTCCTGAGATTAGGATATGTCTCAGAGGGGAGAGATGCATAGAAATTAGGAAGGCTGCTTGACTTGAATGCTTCTTTCAGAGAGTCACAATTCTGCAGTTCAGCCAGTTCCATTTGGTAAATTGTATCCACATTTTCAATGTCAATAGAAAATGGGTTACAGAAAAGCTGTATGTCCTGTTCATGAAGATGAAGCGCACACAAAACAAAAATTCCCCCTCTGCAAGCGCTACTTTGTGGCTTGCAAAAGTGGGGAGGGGGTACGCTGGAAACGGCGGACTGGGCGTGGGGGGGGGCCTTCCCCCCTCCCCGCTTTACAGCAGGGTTTGCCAGTTGGAGGTGCCCGGGCTAAGGCTGGGCCCCTGATCGGCGCTGCCGGCCCCCAAGCCCCGCAGCTAAGCTAGAAGTGGAAAGAGGGAAGAAGAAGAATCTGCGGGCGACGAATCTTGCCAGCAGGTCTCATGGCGTGGGGGGCGGCGGAGAGAGGGTGAGACGCTGGCCCTCTGCGGCTGGCGCTCCCTTCCCACAGTGGCCTCCTAGTTGCTGACCAGGGCTTTTGCCCCAAAAGCATGGCTGTGCGGCAGACGGCAGCAGAAGACGGAGGAGGTTATTCTGGAGGGAGCCCAGATTAGGAGGCGCCGAACTCTGCCGGGATTTGTTACCCTCCCGAATCTCATTCATACATGGTTGCAATGCACACATGGCCGGTCTGCGTGCAGGAAACCCACGTCGGGGGATTTATTCCAGGCAGGGCATGATTGTGTGGATGTGGCATGGAAGTGCAGGTGGTGGTCTGACACCCCGATCCCAGGCCTGTATTCAGGGGAAGTGACGGACTTTCTCCCAAGCCAGCGGCGCAGCCTGGAGTTGCCGCCGGCAGAGCCTCGCGTCTCTCTTCCTTAGCCCGTGGACAGTTTCAGGGGAAAGAGGCAGAACCTTCGCCTGGCACTGGGAACCTTCGCCCAAGCCCTGGGAAGGGAGAGCGGGCGTGCCGGCCTGGCTGTTGGCGCTCCTGGCCCTCTGGCAGGTCCCCAGCGGTTGGAGAGAAAAGCAAACTTTTGCGGCCCTGGAAAGTGGAAGTGGCGCCGTGCCGAGGGGAATGGCACCCCTACCGCTTGCCAGGGCCCCTTGTGCTGGGCAGCATATGGACAGGACAGTGGCAAAAACACCTGGCGGGCCGGATAAATGTTTTCGGCGGGCCGCATGTGGCCCCCGGGCCGTAGTTTGAGGACCCCTGAGTTAAACACTAATTTAGACTCCTTATCAATTACATTCTAAGCAATATTTATTAAAATATGTTTAGCCAGTAGTGCTCAGAACAACACAAACTACATTTACTAGCTTAGTAGAGAATTTAAAATCATATAATCAAATCAAACAACTAAGTTAATGACTGTAAAATTGCAATATATTTTGCAAAACTACAGCATCAGAAAATGAGGTAACTTTCTCTTGATTAAACTTTTAGGGAAGCAACTCAGATCCAGAATTTCTGAATGTCTTGAGAGAACGTGAAGAACTTAAGTGTATGATGGAAAAATATGAACGTCATATGGCAGAAATTCAGGGCAATATTAAGGTTCTAACAAAAGAGAGAGACAAAATCGTCTTTCTTTACGATCAGGTAATCTTTATAGGCGTATAGAACAGTTTGTCAAGAACAATTTGCCTATCATATATAATCTTGTCATTTTTCTGAGCTGTTTATCCTATGATAGTCTCAGAGTGCCTTGGTGAGGGTTTATCCTCAGGAGGTCTGGCTGACAAGTAGGAGAAATTTAGATTTATCAGTAGTGGTGGTCCCTAATTTCTGGAGTTCCCTTTGTCTAGAAATGCAGCAAGCTCTCTCACTGCATAGTTTTATACAGCTTGATTAAATGCTTTTGTTTTACTAGGTTTTTGGCACCTAGGCTTACGTTTTGTCATCCATTTAGATCATGTCATCCATTTAGATTTTTGTGATTTGTGACCTCTAAGGCTGGAGGTGTTATGATTTGGGATTTTTAATATTTTTCTCTTGCTGTGTTTTATTTTATTTATTATATATTTCAGAAATGTATATGCAGCCTCTACAGAGAAACTGCTCAAGAGGGCTTCAACATTAAAAAGTTCAAATTCAAATTGTAACAAGATGTCATTATTTTTATCAACATTCCTGAGATCCAAACCAATTGGTGGGGGGAAGTAGAGGGCAAGACAGACTTGTTTTAGGAAAATACAATGTAGGACTCACTTGCAACAATGCCCCCAGCTTGCAATCCCATTGGTATATTAAAACATTTTATGTTGCTAATGTTACACTGTATTCTTTCTTTTTATATGCATAAATTTTAATGCATGTAGTATTTCATTCATAAATATCAGATGAAGTTAAATGGTCATCTATGTAGTTCGTGTTCCAATAAATTAATTGCCATTTTGGTATTGTAGTACTTAATTCTCACAGATAAGTATCTGTACCTAAAGAGAAATTTCAAATAACAGGCACAGGAAGAAATAAGTCGACTAAGAAAAGAAGCTATCAAAACCCCCAGAGCTTCTAAATCTACAATGACTGCTCAAGTTGTCTTAAGGCGTGTGGAGACAGAAAGGGATGGAGCTATTTGTGATCTTCGAAGGATGTCCACAGAACGTGATAGCTTGAAAGAGAGGTTAAAGGTTTGACCTTTTATCCATTTTCGTTTATACAACATCTACACAATTTAATGGAATGGCTGTGTAGTGTCTAAACTAATAAATATTTTAAAATTTTATAAGACACAAGAGAAATGTGTTTCATGTATTTATTTTTATGTAGATTGCTCAAGACACTGCATTTAATGAGAAAGCTCACTTGGAACAGAGAATTGAAGAACTAGAATCAAATGTTCAAAGTGTAAGGAAAAATTACTCCTGTAAATGTATTGGTTACTATTAATATATAATTATATAAAATATATAAATGGTGTAAAGATGCACTTTATGTGGTTAAAGGTTTGACCTTTTATCCATTTTCGTTTATACAACATCTACACAATTTAATGGAATGGCTGTGTAGTGTCTAAACTAATAAATATTTTAAAATTTTATAAGACACAAGAGAAATGTGTTTCATGTATTTATTTTTATGTAGATTGCTCAAGACACTGCATTTAATGAGAAAGCTCACTTGGAACAGAGAATTGAAGAACTAGAATCAAATGTTCAAAGTGTAAGGAAAAATTACTCCTGTAAATGTATTGGTTACTATTAATATATAATTATATAAAATATATAAATGTTGTAAAGATGCACTTTATGTGTGAATATATTACTAACATTGTTCTAGGAGTATGTAGATAGTTCTGTGTTTTGCTGTTTACTGATGTTTATATTTTCCTGATCTTTAAAAGCAGAGGTGTTGAACTCATTTGTTACAAGGTCCAGATCTGACATAAATATCACTTTGTCGGGCCAGGCCATGTGTGCCATAAAATGGAACACAAGGTACCAGAGATATAAAGATGATTTCAGATGCCAAATGACAATAGCAGGCATGATTGAATTAGGTGTGATATGCAGAGGGGTGGAGATATCAACATTCGTGTGATATACAGAGGCGTGGAGATATCAGCATTGGTAATGAGACAGGAAACCTAGGTTTCAGTTTGGTACAGGAGGATGCAAAGAATAAATGGAAATAAGTCTGAAGAAGTGAGCAGTGACTCTCAAAAGCACATACCCTACCACTATTTTGTTAGTCTTTAAAGTTGCTACTGGACTCTTACTCTTTCTACTACTATTAGAAACATTCAAAAACCAGTGGGGGAACATTTTAACCTTCCAGGGCATTCAGTTGCTGACCTAAGAGTAGCAGTTCTCTGACAAAGGAATTTCAATGGGAGATTAGAAAGAAAGCCTGCTGAATTGCAACTGATCATGAAGCTCAAGACAATGCAGACTCCTGGACTGAATTGAGACCTAGTTTTCTTCTCTCATTACCAATGCTTGCTCTTGTCTTTTGGCATCTGAAATCACTTCACTCTCCAAGATATAAGGACAGATGGACTCACATTCCAGCTGTATCTGAGGAAGTGAGCATTGATTCATGAAAGCTCATGCCCTGCCACAAATTTTGTTAGTCATTAAGGTGCTGCTGTACTCTTCCTCCCTTTCACTAATAAGGAATGCAAGCTGTGCTCTTAGGTTTCTCCCCGCCCATCTGTTAGAAATGGAAATGGGGATCTCTCCATGTGCCATGGGATGGACTCTCTCTCATACCTGGAATAAAACGTTTTTGGGTCTAATCACAGGACTCTTCCCCCACTATACCTGGAATAAAATGTTTTTGGGTCTTAACACAGAACTCTCTCTTTCTTTGGCTGGCTGGCTGACTCCCTCCCGCTCTCTCTCTGATGAAAAAGTGTGCTTATACCTGGAATAAAACATTGCTGGTTTCCTGAAAAGTTCCATGAGATGCCATTTCTTCCCCTCTCTGTGTCTCTCTTCCTCCCCCATTCCCTTCCCAGAGGAGGAGGGGTAGGGGGGAGGAGCCCTCAGCCAACAGAAGGAAGGCTTTCTCTCTCTCCTCTTGAAGCAGGAAATAGGAGAGACTGGGGAAAAGGACCCACGATGTTAAAAAACAAGAACCATGAAGTAGCAGAGAGTCATCTGCTCTTGGGCCAGATTCCAGCCCTGCACGTGCTGGATGCAGCTTGCGGGCCATATCTTTGACACCCCTGCTTTAAAGGAACGCTGACACTAAGGTCTATTCCCAGAATAAGCCTGTTTAAATTAAGATCTACTGCAGCCTCATGTACAAAGCATAAAGGAAATTGAGCAGTTTTCCATTTTAAAGGTTCTAACAGAAGTTGTTTAATCAAGATGTAAAATATAAGGTATTATTAGGTGGATTGTTTCTTTGCAATAAATGTTTATTAATTTGAGAGATTATTATTCTGCCCATTCATCAGGTGTTCTTCAAGACAGCTTTACAACATTTATAAAATCAGACTACAAAAAAAGTAGATCTTTGACAAAAGAATATGTGGCCAATTATCAACTAGTTTCTAATCTCACTTTTCTGGGCAAAGTAATTGAGCAAGTCATGACAGACCTGATTGATGCTTCTGCTCTTGATAACAGAGATGGTGATTTCTCTAATTAGGGCTCTTTGTATAGTTGAACCCCATCTCTAGTAGCTATCCATTTAACTACCAAAGGCAGGAGCACCTGGTGATGATCTCACCACAGAGGCAGGTTCACCTGGAGAAGGTGGTCCTTCAGATACTCTTATCTCAGATCATTTAGGTCTTTAAAGGTCAACACCAACACTTTTGCTTGAAAACAAACGGGGAGACAAGATAAATTTATGGAGGAGAAATGTGGTAATTATGAATAAGTTGAAGGCAGCATCTCTATGTACACCACATTGCAGTTACCACATTGGGACCCTTTTGAAGCATGGGTAAATGGGGCAAGGTCATCTCTTTCCTGGAGAAAACAAAAGTAGCATACTTGCAGAAACTAGTGAAAATTAGTCTAAGCGTCGGAATGACATTTAAGTGAAAATGAACTTAGACTTTCACTTATATTTCAGACTACATTTCCCTGAGTAGACTTCATCACCTTAATTATCTGTTTGTAACTACTAATCCTGTTCTAATAATTTACACAGAGAATTTACACTTGAAAGACTCAGGAAGGAATTCATACCTATCCCTGTATCTCATCCCTTCCACCCCGGTAATCTTTCCTATATAGAGAGTTCCTGGTTTGATTTCCTTCCACATATCTGAGGAAATGAGCTGTGACTCACAAAAGCTCATATTGAAATAAATGTTGTTAGTCTTTAATGTGCCACTGAACTTTTGTTTTATTTTAAAGAATTTGGACATTTACTGTTTGTATGGCACTGAACATCACTAATCAATTCTCGGACTGATAGCATCTAGTTGCTAAATTGTCAGCCTGTTTTGTAGCAGGGAGAGGAAGCATTGTATTTATTTTATTTGTTAAATTTATATCCTGCACCTCCCCGCCGAGGCAGGCTCAGGGCGGCAGAGTTTGTTGGCGGAGTTTAAACATGCAAAGGAACGGAGCACCAACTATTTAAAGAAAACAATTTGGTTTATTAAAGAAGAAATAAACTCTGATAGAACAAAGGAGTGGGAGAGAGGCTTAACTAACTGCTGTGTGAGGGAGGAACAAAGGGGGAGGGCTCAGTTGGAGCAGGAAGTCTTCGAAGAGCCAATCAGGAGACAGGAAGGACATAATTTGAAATTGTGGGAAGTCCCTAATCTAGCTATGCAAACTAGCAGTCCTTCAGCTATCCCCTTCTGATCTTCTTGAAGTAGGTACGCTGTGGACCTTGTATATTCGAACACATTTAACCCATGACTACTGTGGCTCAAAGCAAGTATGATAGTCAGAGCAGTATTGGCAGGAGAACTTTGAGAACTGAGGACAATAAAAAACATCTGCTTCCTCCCATACCTTTCTGGCTGTAGCTGCTGCAGCAAAAGGAGCTGTTGGGTTCAGCAACATATGGAAAGCAGTCTTACTCCCACAGCAACAATAAACAATGTCTGTAAAAAATATCCTTCCAGAGTTTATATGTAAACCCCATACTTGGAAGTAGCAGGTTGCCCCTAGTTATTGCTTTGGGTAGATTGACGGTGCTAGATATTTTGCTGTTTTATTGTTAATTTGTTATATATATTTTTAGAATTATATAAACTGCCTTGAAGGTGGGGTAAACATTTTTTAAAATACATTTCTAAATAGTTTTGTCCTTGTCTCAGACAACAGTTATTGTTTTTTTGTTTCAGACAAGCAATAGAAAAAGTTTATCAGTTTGCTGAAAATAGACTCCATTTGCAAATGGTGGAAACTTTCTCTTCACCTAAAAATATGAAGAGACAACACGCAGAATTTGAAGTAGTTGAAGAAATGTTATATCTTATAGCTTTCCACAGTTCTCAATTATTCTTTGTCACTTTAATGATTTAGCTTGACAATGAACGGTTAGAACAAATATCAAAGATATCTTTGATGAAAGAGACGATAGAGTCCATAGAAATGGAAATGAAAATATTGGCAAGAAGAGCAGTGGAATCAGAAACTGAGCTAAACAGACAGAGAACAACCAATGCATCACTGAGGTAAATAAAATATGTTCAGTCAATAATCTAGTTATAAATTTGTATCTGTTGACCAAAAGCTATTAAAATTTAATTTTGAGAGATTAGATGCACACTGTTCTCCGCTGTTCTTCGGGATTACTAGCATAAACATTTTTGGCCTGAACAAGTGTTCTATGCTATCCAATTTATTGATAGAAAATTTTTAAAAATCCAGTCATCTGAAAGTATCGTGATCTAAAATGCAAATCACTGGTTATTGTTCTTTAATTACCTTGAACATGGCTGCTCACTTCACTCATCAGTTCTAAATTTATTGTTGCCTAATTTATAATACAGTCATTTAGGTTGACTGATGCAGCTTTCCCTTCACTTATTTGATAACAGAGGAAGAAATATCAGCATGAATTGCGTGACATAAATTACTAGAGCTATTAGTTACAGTAATTCCCCGTCTGCCCATACAGATTTTTCTCTGATGTACACGGTTCTGACCACTCTAAGTCTCTGTTTCCGCTTGAGATGATCTTTGCAAATAAAACTAAAATAGAGGGGATCTGGCACAATACTAGCTTTCCTAGTTGTATATAAGTTTCTAGTATCAGAAGGCTAAAGAAAGAGCCTAAATCACAGGCATACAGTGATTTTCATTACATTATGTTCTGGGTGGCCTCTTTGTAACTATTTATATTACATCTCATCTTCTTTTAAAGAGTTCAGTCAGTTTGCACTTAGTATTAATTCATCATAGGAGATGAAGGCACCCCTATCTCTGACCAGGGATGGAGTCTTTGGAGGGCTGGCCAGTTGACCAGCTGGGTGGTTGAATTCCGCCCATGCCAGGATCATTCCCACCATTCAGCTGGGTGCCAACAATACAGATACTGGCTGGTTATTTGGCAGGGATAAAATGCTCTCGCCTATTACAGGGTTAAAACAAGAAGGGATGAGGCTGGACCTGTTGCTTTATTTCATAGGATTAGATCCAGACTAGATTTTTTTTGCTAACAAAAGGCCCTTCTGTCAGTGGAACAGAACTGTCTCCCTCCTCCATTCCTCTGCAGCCAATTCATCTCCCCCAAATATTGTTCCTGGGGAACAGTCGTCCATGAGGAATGGCATGAGGGACAGAAGTAGGGTCTAGGGGTGTGCAAAAAAAAAAATTCGGTAAAATTTGGATTTCGGTATATTGAACCCGAATTTTTTCGGGATTCCTGGGAAAAAACCGAATACCTATACCGGTAAAGCATAGATATCCGAAAATTTTTGTAATTCCCGAAAAATTCGGGTCCATTATATCAAATGGGGCCATTGAAGTCAATGGCAAAAATCCTCTGGAAAGTTTGCAGGGTGCTGGGGCGGAAGGGGTTTGAGGTAGAGGCTCCAAATTTAGTCCGTGGCTGCTCCAGCCTCTCCCCAAAAGACCCCGAAGGTTTTGAGAAGATTGGACCAGGGGGTCCAATTCCAGGGGCATCCAAAGAGGGTGCCCCAGTTCTCCATTGTTTCCTATGGGAAATTGGGTGTGGGGAAAAGGCAGGCAGATCTCCCTGTAAGAGACTAAGTGAGGTGTGGTGGTGGTGTTTGCCAGGCCCAGCAGCAGAACCAGAGCAATTCTGCCCCCCCAACCTGTGCCAATGTGCCAGTCAGTGCCCAAAACCAACAGAACTTAGTTCAAACCAGAGAATCTCTGCAGCAGCAGCCTACATAGACTGAGGGAGCATGTTTGCATTGCCACTAGCCAGGCCCAGTAGCAGAACCAGAGCAATCTCCCCCCCACACACACACACACAAAACCTGTGCCAGTCACTGCCCAAACCCAACTGGACTCTGGTCAAACCAGAGGATTTCTACAGCATGTAAACTGGGGGGGGGGGGGGGGGGGGACTGGGGCAGGGAAGGCAGGACCTGTGCAAGTGATCAATCAGCTAGGGGTGTAAGATTCCCCACTCAGCACATTAACAGAGGTAAAAGGAGGCCAGGGGAACACAAATGGGCCCAAATCAGAGTGGTTGCCAACTCTCCAGGGGGCACCCAAAGATTAAGATACCCACTTTCCCAGGTTGGGGAATCATCCAGAGGGGTCTCACTGTCCCTCTAGGAAGGCAGTATGAATCCAGTGAGTGGTGGCAGCAACTAAGGAAGGAAAATAGCCCCACCCCCACCGGACAGGGGCAGGCGAACACATCCCGAGCCACAGAATGGCTGGCTGCTCACTCTCCCGGGGCTGAGGGTGGGTCCCCGTTCCCTACAATGCAGGAAACTCACACAACTACCTCTCCCCCACACCCCCAGAGGCTGAAAAAGATTTGGGAGTTGGACCCCTGTTCAGGGGCCAGCAGCAGAACCAGTGCACGGTGGCCCCCACAACCTGTGCGAACCAGCCCTTGCAACAAATGAGTCTCTCTCTGACATCTCTGCGGCCAGAGTCATGGAATCACAGAGTTGGAAGGGACCTCCAGGGTCATCTAGTCCAACCCACCACACATTCCCTAAACAGTGATTTGCCCCAAAACCAAGGCTTAGTGTGAAAGCAGCCCACTTCGTCAGGTGCATGAACTGTCACCTGTAGATAGCAGACCAGAGAGAGAACTTAGGCCCCAGGCAGAAGAGGCCTAGTCTGTAACACCCCCCAAAAAAATCCCAGAAGCCCAGAAAAAATACAACACAACTTAACAAAAATAAACTGCAAACAGACAAGCAAAAGAAAGAACCACAACAAAACTCAAAACCAAAAACAAGAGCCTAGACCCCAGGAAGGAGATCAGTAAACACCCCCTCAGGAGAAGCTGCAAACCAATAAATAAAAATCAAGCACAGAAAAAACAATTAAAATGCAAAACAAACAACAGGCAAAAACTAGAAGTAAAGGAACTCAGAACTAGAAGAACTCACCCCCCCTCAGAATAAACCCCCCCAACAAGGCAAGCCAAATGAAAAGCACACAGTAAAAAAAATTTAAACTATGCAAAAAGAGAAACTAGAAGAACCCTCCCCCAAAGAAAACCCAGAAAGAGGCCCTAGGCCCTAGAGGCCTACTCAAACCACCCCCTCACCAACCCCAGGCCCCAAACCACCAAAACAATAAAAAAGTGCCCTAATTAAAGTAAACTAGATTGATATCTGCTCTCGATCAAAGGAGGTCCATACAGGAGGGAGGAAAGCGGGCAGGCTGAAGGAGCAGGGCAGGGGCAGAAGCAAGCCAGCCAGCCACACACAATCACCTCCAAGCCAAGCCAGGCAGCTCTCTCTCATCACCAGCAACAGGAACACAGCACATAGGATCCAGGAACAGCACAGCAGCAATGGCATCAGCCACCAGAGACTGTCTTTTATGTTCTCTGGGCATACACAGAAGGATTTCAAAAAGAAACACCTGTGATTGGCAGAGAGCAGATGCCAAAACCCTATTGGCCACCAGTGCTCCTTCCCTGGGAAAGGAGCAAGATAGTGGACTGGCAGCAGCAACAACAGTCTTGCAAATGCATTGCAGTGATTGCCTGTCTGAAGTTCCCTCTTCCCTCTCCCTCCTGGAAACAGGAGCAAGAGACAAGAAAGAGGGAAATGGCAGGACAACGGGGTTTCCGGGTCTTTTTAACTGTTAAAACTCCCTCTAGTGGCCATTTTCGGCATTTCTGAAAAAAACCCGATTTTGGGGGGGATTTTTTCCCGGATCTCAGAACAGGCTCAGGGAAGCCTATTCGGCATCCAAAAAGCCGAAAAATCCCGAAAAGAGTTTTTTCTGGGATTTTTTTCAGCTCAGAATTCCCTAATACACACCCCTAGTAGGGTCTACAGCCAACCCAGTATGACTAATTATACGCTAATTCCCACCTATACCCCTTTCTTCCATTTTAGTGCTATCATAAAGTCTGTAAGCAAAGATAATTTTAAATTGTCCTTATTGTTACTGTTCAGGCTACTGAATGAAACAATACAGCATAATCTTTCAGACGCTGAACGACAACTTGCAAAGAAAAAATATGAATTACAACTCAGTCAAGAGAAAATTATGTGTCTGGATGACAAAACTGGTAAGCTGCAAATGCTATTATTTAAGTACAAAATGTTTGTGGTTATACAGTGGGTTGCCCTGACTTGTATAGCCCAGGCTAGCCTGATGTTATTAGTTTGATCTCGAAAGTTAAGCAGGTTAAGCCCTGCTTAGTATTTAGATGGAAGACAACCAAGGGAAACCAGGGTCATAGAGGTCGGCAACGGCAAACCACCTCTGATACATCTCTTGCATTGAAAACCCCACAGGGTCACCATAGATCAGCTGTGACTTGAAAACAAAAAAAAATACACTGGGTTGCACATTTTTTACTAACTCCACCCAATCCAATGGTGGCTGTCTTTATTTTGGATCTACTTTCTGGTTTCATTCCCTCCCTCCCCAAGTCCCTTTCCTCTTTTTACCCATGTCTCATTTCTTTTTTGGAAACATCGATAAATTAACAGATTGGCAAAAATAGCCTCCCTCCCTCTTCCAAATATGAAAGTGCCCTTCCATCTTCAGAACTGAATAGTTGGATGCAAGCCTCTGAATAAATTATAAGAAGGTAAAACTATGAATAGAGCTTAGGAGGCTTTCGAAACCATTTGTTCAGACTTGGCTACATTAGCCAATTTTGACTTTTTAATGATTTATTCATATAAAGTTACCAGAGATTCCAAACCTATTTAATATAAAGTTGTAATTATATTTTGTATTTGTATAATGAATCTCAAGTGTTCAAAGTGCTTCATGTACATTCGCTCTATAATCAATCTATATATCTAATAGCGAAAGGTGCCCCGTGCGGATACCTAAATCCGCGCATCGGGGGCACCTGGGGAGGAGGGAGATTTTCATGCACACTTGGGGCAATCCCCAGGTGTGCACAAAAATCTAAAAATCTGGAAAAAATATCAGGGGGATACTTAAATCCCCCCGAAAGTGACAGAGCATCCCCTGCGCATGTGCAGGGAACGCTCTGCGAACTCCCTGACCGCCACCGCTGCTTCGGGGGGGGAAGAGAGAAGCGAGCCAGGGAGGGGAAGGGGGGTAGATCGAGCAGGGTGGGTAGATCGCTCAGGCCTCGCTTCGGAGCCGGGGGGAGAGGCAGGGGGGGTAGATCGAGCGGGGTGGGTGGAGGGGGGGTTAGGGAGACGGGGGGAACTGGCGGGATGGGGGGGGACTTACCTCCTCCTGCTTGGGGGATACCCCTTATTTCATAATAATGTTGAAGCCATACTTTGCAAATTGTTCTGAGTTATACTTCAATTGTATCTTGCTTTGTTTTGATTGGTATTGTTACATGTTAGAAAAAATATAAATATAAAATAAAAAATATTAATAAAAAAAAAGAAACCAACATTATTATCCCATATTCCCCATCAGGATCTGAGACCCTGAGAATAATGGCAGGCCTAAGGCCACCTAGGCTCACAATCCATTACTCATCGTTATAGCTCAACGATCATAGTAACCTACATTTGCTTTCAATAAACATTACATTAAATGGATGGATTTTAACACTGATTAATTTCATTTAAACAAGGTTCTAATATAGCAACAATAGCAAAGCACATGTGAAAAATATTTCAGCATTGCAAAGCAAATTTGTTTGTTTGTTTGTTTCATATTATATTCCACCTTCCCCGCAAATGGGCTCAGGGTGGATCACAGAACAGATCAAGACATCATAAAAATACAGTACATTTTAAGTATAAAAACAATTAAAATAATATAAAAGAACATATGTTAGGTCATGCTATTCATATGCAGATTTCAAGGTGATGCCACTTTTCATCATCTTAATCTGGGCCACATAAAGATGGTAAACCAGCAGGGGGGAAGCGAGATTTTATTGGACGCCTGCCACCTTAACCAAAGGCCTGGTGGAACAGCTCCGTTTTACAGGCCCTGATGAATGGTAGTAAGTTCCGCAGGGCCTTGATCTCAGATCGGAACATGTTCCACCAGGCTGGGGCCAGAGCAAAAAAGGCCCTGGCCTCGGTTGAGGCTAAGCAGATGTCCCTTTAATACTCCATGTATTATGACTGGAATTCATAACCTGAACATACTGGATGTGAGTGCAGCTCTGGGTTTCATTCTCCTTTCAGCAGCCCCTCTGCTATTCCTACTCATCCCAACCCAAACCACCAAACTACATTTTAAATTCCCCTAATTTGAAAACTGCAATTTGCTATTTTGCAAAGAAGAGTCCCTGAATCAAAAAGCATAAACTTTTGACTGCTTGTCAGAAGCTTTGTTTGAGCACAATTTATTTGTTAAAAGTCATTTTAAATGGGTTAAGAATTTATATTATATATGCTGTTTACAGAAAACCTTTCAAAACAAAACATTGTTCAACAAGAAGAAATGTGTGCACTAAATAGAACAATAGCAGAACTGGATGCAGAAAAGGAATCTTTACAGGACCTTCTTGATGAAAAAACAGAGCGAATTGTCACCCTTGAAGAAAGCTTAGACATTAAAGTAGGTTTTGATGTGTATATTTTCGTGTAGTTTTAATAGCTTTTAGAATGTGTTTTTGTGTTACACAGGAAAGACACTCAAAATGCAGTTCTTGAAAATACACAGTCATATTGAAATAGAGACTATTCATATTTACTTGAAAAGTATGTGAGTTGTAGTTCAGGTTGCCAACTCCAAGTTGGAAAATTCCTGGATATTTGGGGGTAGATCCTGGGGAGGAACTTCAGCAGAATATAATACCATACAGTCCATCCTCTAAAGAAGGAAAACTGATAATTTACATGCAGACTTTGCAAGGTTGAAGAACATACTGAATTCTAAAGTAAATATACATGTTGAAAAGCTACAACTATAAAAAGCCCCCACCCAAAGCTTCCTGAAACAGCCAGTTTACAGGAGTCTTTCCCTGTTGTTTGATGTCCCAAGCTTCTAATTTCACAAAGTATTATGAGTTAATTATATCATCTTAGCTCAGAATGGGGGGGGGGGAGTGGCCCCTGTGATTTCCTTCTAATGTGAATGTGAATGGGGAAGATTTGCAAAGGAGAATGTGTGGGTGGGCAGAGCGCTTAATGGTTTCTTTACCCACTAATTCTCCTCCCATCCAAGTCAGTTTTTTCCCTCAGCTAGGCTTTAACTGAATGTAAGCTAGCCTTGAGGGCAGCAGGAAGAGTCTTAGGGAATGGTGGTTACAGGAGGGGAGGAAAATTGATAAACATGAGCACGCCTTCCTCCTGATCACTGATTCTCCTGTATAAGTGTCCCACTTCTCAAATCCTTCATTATCTGAGCAAACAAGACTGGAAATATGTATTTGCTGAGATAACATGTAATTCCACCATAATAGAATGTTATGAATTTTATGTCCAGCTTCTACTGAATACTTTATTAATTAAAAAATTTTTATCCTGCCTTTCCGCATGGTTCAAGACAGTTTACAATAATATGAAAATCCACAGAGTGTAAAGCACACTTTGGAAGGGGTAGGAAGAAAACTAGTGTGGGATATATCTTGATGGTATTTGATCAGGGACAGTTTTTTCAAAATTGCTATTGTAGATGGATGTCTAAACTGAAAAAACAGATGTCATTCTAACAAATCATTAATTAGTGGTTTTAAAATTCTATATTGGCTAAAGCCCGTGGGAGAAGGTGAGCAAAGTATTTTGGGTTCTTTATATCCAAAGTAGACAAAAATAAATATATGCCGTTTGTGAATTCTTCTCAATGTTTTCAAAATTAAACGTTCCGGAAATGTGGGAAAACCATGTCAAGGTGGTACAAGAAAACACTTAAGAACATAAGACGAGCCCTGCTGGATCAGACCAGTGGTCCATCTAGCCCAGGATCCTATCTCACACAGTGGTCAACCAGTTTCTCTGGAGGTCCAACAACAGGGCTGAGGCCTTCTCTTGATGTTCCTTCCTAGCAGTGGTATTCTGAATGGGGAGGTTCCCTTCAGTCACCATGGCTTGCAGCCACTGATAGACCTATCCTCTGAGAATCTGTCTAATCCACTTTTGGCCTGTGGTCATTGCTACATCCTTTGGCAGTGAATTCCATATTTTAATCACTAGTTGTATAAAGAAGTATTTCCTTTTGTCTGTCCTGAATCTATTTCCCATCAGCGTCATCAAATGCCCTCGAGCTCTAGTTTTTTGGGAGAGGGAGAAAAGGTCCTCTTTGTCAACTCTTTCCACCCAGTGCATAATTTTATAAACCTCTATCATGTCCCCACTTAGTCATCTCTTTCCTTTACTGAAAAGTCCCAGACTCTTCAGTCTTTCCTCATAGGGTTGCCCTCTTTTGTAATTTTTCCAGCTCTGCAGTGTCCTTTTTTAGGTACTGTGACCAGAATGTCACACAGTAAGTATTCCAAATGAGGCCATACCATAGATATATACAGGAGGCCTTATAATATTGGCCATTTTATTTTCAGTCCCTTTCCTAATAATCCCCAACATAGTAAAAAGTAAAGGATCTTCGACGTGGTCTCTGTGCTTCACACACATGGGATCTAGTGCACACGAGCTGGATCAATCGGTGCTGTAGCAAGCTCTTTTAACGGATTTTCGCGCCCAGACCTTGGGCATGCGCAGGAACCCCATCGCGCATGCCCAGAGGGGAGGGCGCGGACATCCCGCCAGTTCCTTTCTTACCGCCGCGTTGGAAAGACCTTTTTCTTCGTCAGTCTGATCGGTTCGCGTGTTTTGGCTTTTTGCCTCACGGCTCTTTGGATTTTTTCCTCAGTTTATTCTTTTTCTTCGTTGTTCTTTCAAAAACTTAAAAAAAACCTTTTATTTTCTGCTGAGGGGGAGTTTGCCGCTTTACCTCAGTCAGGCCTTCGGGCTACCCCCCCCTCTTCTTCATTTTGGTTTTTATGGAGAAGAAGTGGGGCTTTTTTAATAGGTGCAAGGGTTGCGGTAGTAAACTTGCTCCTCCTGACCGTCATACCCTTTGCATACTTTGTATCAGAGAGTCTCATCAACCCGGATCTTGTTGCCACTGTGCTCGCTTTTCAAACCAGACCCGGAAAAACCGAGCTGCGCGCCTTAAAGTGGCCCTGCTAGAATCGGCTCTACATCCTTCCTCAGCAATGGACGCCGAGAAACCATCGACCTCAATGGCTCTGGCATCGAGGCCTGCCTCCGATATCGGCCAACCGACACCAAAGCCTCCGGCATCGAAGGCACAATCCTCCGCTTCCACGCCGGTAAAAAAGAAATCCAGGCCAAGTAAGGAGCAAAAGTTCGCAAAGAAGGGCTCTTCCAAACCCCTTAAGGCGGCAAAGAAGGGGAAAGTAGCGGTGGCTGCACTGGGTGATGCCCCTAAAGTGCCTCCTGCTCCAACAACTGTATCGATACCGGAGGCCCAAGTCCCTCCACTGATACCGACCATCCATGTCTTGGACTCCCCTGTCCACCAAATAGAGTGTCCTTACTCCGACACTGAAACGGTAAAGCTCCTAAGTCATCAAATGGGTGCAGAGCCTTCTCCGTCTCCTTCCCCGTTGTCGACGGTATCGGAAGCTCCCGACATCGATCCACGTCAGCACCAATATGCTTCATGCGACACGCAGCATCACCCTCCACGTCTGCACAGTCAATCTGTCAATATCGACAAACGAGATTATACGAGCTCCTCTCAAAGACATGCT